TCCACCTCCCAGCCATCCTTATCTGCCTCTACTCTCACTTCTCTTCATTTAGGTTTGTTTGGGTCCTCTACAGGTATCTTCTCTTTTGTTTGGCTTTTTGACTCGGGTACCTCTCATCATATGACTCCTCACTTTTCCTTACTTCAAAACTGTATCCCCTCTCCCTCTCCTATTACTGTTAATACTACTAATAGGTCTGGTACGCTTGTTCTTTCTGTTAGGTCTGTCTTACCTTCCGTCATGTCTGTTGTTACTATTCCCTCTGTTTTTTATGTTTCTTAGCTATTAGTCAATTTATTATATATCAGTCAACTTGATACTTCTGGTTTTGATGTTATCTTTTCTTCTTCTGTCCGTTGTGTGCAGGATCGAGTGTCCAAGAAGTAAATTGGGACCGGCCGTAGAGTTGGAGATCTCTATGTGGTAGAAAGCTTGCATTTCCCTCTATCCACCTCTCCAGTTGCTTTTTCCTCATTTCAGTTCGATTCTCAGTCGAGTCAGTTTTACTTATAGCATTCTCGCTTAGATCATTTGTTTGTTGACCGCTTACGGTCTTTAGCTTAGTCAAGATTATTGGGTAAAGTTTCTCCTAGTCAAATTGATGAATGTCGGGGGTGTAAACTTGCCAAAATATCAGCTTTACCTTTTAATAAAAGTATTTCAATTTCTATTTTTCCATTTTCTCTTGTGCATACTGATGTCTGTGGATCCTTTCCTGTTCTCACTAAAGGGGGTTCCACATACTATGTGTCTTTTGTTGATGATTGCACCCGTTATACTTAGGTTTATCTTATGACTCATAAATCTGACTTCTATCAAATATATCGTACCTTTCAGTCTATGATCACTACACAGTATGGGGCTACCATTAAATTGTTACGATCTGACCTGGGTGGAAAATATTTTAAAACTGATTTCTGTGAGTATTTGGCCAATTTGGGTACCATTTGTTAGAATATGTCCCACATTGCTTGGAGTTGCCCTATCTGTGCTAGTTATAAGACTTTAGTTTCCTTATCTTTAATACTTGGGTTTTAAGGAGAAGTGTGGGCTATGCTTTTCAACTTGGTATCAGAGCTTGGTTGGGCCTGTGACTGGTGGGCTATTTGTCTAACTAGTGTGTGTTGTGGTCCAGGAGGGTGTGTTGGAATGTGTCCTACATCGCTTGGAATTGCTCCATCTGTGCTAGTTAAAAGGCTCTAGTTTCCCTCTCCTTAATACTTGGGTTTTAAGGAGAAGTGTGGGCTAGACTTTTTAACTCCGTTCACCAAACTTCTTGCACTGATACACCTGCCCAAAATGGTCGAGCCGAGCGTAAACACCGTCATCTCCTTGAGATAGCTAGGTCGCTTCTTCTCTCTGCCTTAATTCCAGCTTTGTTTTGGGGCAAGGTAGTTCTTACTGCTGTTTTTCTTCTTAACCGCATACCTACTCCCCTTCTTTCTGGTCAGTCTCCTTATAAGGTTCTGTTCTCTCAACTTCCCAATTACTCCCTCATTCGTGTGTTTAGGTTAGCTTGTTTTGTCTTTCTTCCCGATAAAGATCGGACCAAACTTAGTGCCCGGTCTGTTCTATGTGTCTTTTTGGGTTATAGTCTTACTCAGAAAGGCTATCGGTGTTACAAACCTATTTCCCGTCGTCTTTACTTCTCTCGTCATGTTTCTTTTCTTGAACATCTACCTTACTTTCAGCTTCCTTCTACCATTGCTTCAATTTCTAAAGAAAATTTGGCTCACCTTGATCCTTTTCCTTCTAAGGTCCTTTTTGATGAGTACATTTCTACTGTTCCCCATGACCTTAATCCCTTTCCTCCTCCGTCTCCCCAGCCTGCTCATTCTCTTTCTTCTCCTCTTTCTCCTCCTCTGTTGTTAGTTTATTTGTGTTGCCAGGCTTTCTCTCTCTCCACCAGTTATCTCTGCTCCTACTGCTGATCCTCCTGCTTTTGACGACTCTGATCCTGCTGCACACCGCTATCCTACTTGAGCGCATCATTCTCTAAACAGGTTGGGTTGGTCTAATATATGTTTTTCTGCTTCCTATTGTACTTTTTTGTTTGCTATTCATTCTTTTTCAGAACTTTAGTCTTACAAGGAGACCTGTCAGGATCCCCATTGGATTTAAGCTATGGAGGATTAGTTGTCTGCTTTACAGAAAATTAGGACTTGGGAGTTGGTTCCTTTGCCTGCTGGTAAGAATCTGGTTGGTTGCAAATGGGTCTACAAAGTCAATACTCATTCTGATGGTTCTCTTGAGCGCTACAAAGCTCGTGTGGTTGCCAAAAGTTTCTCACAGGAGTATGGTATTGATTATGAGGAGACTTTTGCTCCTATTGCCAAGATGACTACTGTCTTTACTTGGATATCTGTCGCTGCTGTTCGTTCTTGGCTTCTTTATCAGATGGATGTTAAGAATGCTTTTCTTAATGGCCATCTCACCAAGGAGGTTTATATGTGTCCTCCTTCTGGCTTTCACCATTCTTCTGGACGGGTTTGTCGCCTTCGGCGTGCTCTGTATGGTCTAAAGCAGTGTCTTCGTACTTGGTATGATCGCTTTCAGGCTGCTGTTACTGCGCTTGGGTTTCATCCTTGTGCCTAGGACTCAGCTTTATTTCTTCTTCACACCTTTGCTGGATTTGTTGCCTTATTACTGTATGTGGATGATATGATCATCACTGGCTCTGACTTTTCTGCTAACTCTGATATTAAGCAGCATCTTTTCTGCACTTTTGAAATGAAAGATCTAGGCCCCTTGTGGTATTTTCTTGGTATAGAGGTAGCTTCTTCTCCCAAGGGCTACTTTCTCTCTTAGGCCAAGTATGCCAATGAGGTTATTCATCGTGCCGCTGACACTAAGCTTTCTGATAACCCTATTTAGCTTAATGTGAAGCTCACCCCTACTGATGGTGTTCTTCTAGATGATCCTACTTTATATCGAGAGCTCATAGGTTGCTTAGTCTATCTGACGGTTACTCATCTTGATCTTGTCTATACAGTTTATGTGGTTAGTCAGTTCGTTTTTGCTCCTCGTTCTACACATTGAGCTCTATTGGTTCGGATTCTTCGCTATCTCCGGGATACAATCTTTCAGGGTTTACTGTGGTCTTCTACTCATTCTTTGGACTTGGTAGCTTATGCTGATTCTGATTGGGCTGGTGATGTCATTGATCGCAAGTCTACTTCTAATTTTTGCATGTTTTTTGGTGATTCCTTGATTTCTTAGAAGAGCAAGAAACAGACTGTTGTTGTGTGTTCCACTGCCGAGGCTGAGTATCGTGCTATGACTCATGTCACTGCTAAGATCGTTTGGCTTCGTTGTCTCTTAACTGATTTGGGTGTCCCTCAGTCTTCTCCGATCTCCCTTTATTGTGATAACCGCAGTGCTATTCAGATTGCCCATAACATTGTCTTTCATGAACGGACGAAGCACATTGAGATTGATTGTCCTTTTGTCCATTAGCATTTGCAGTCTGGCTCCATCTCGCTTTCTCTTGTTTCTTCAGCTTTGCAACTTGTTAATTTCTTTACGAAGACTCACATAACTGCTCGATTTTAGTTTCTTCTTGGCAAACTCTCAGTGTTTTCTACTAAAACACCTTGAGTTTGAGCGGGGGTGTGAGAATATTATGTAATTATGGTATTATGTATCAATTAGGTAGGTTGATTGGTTGATTGTGAATATTCGATTGATTATATAGGGTTATTTCTTATCATAGATTATGTTTAGGATTGTTATAAATATTGGTTGTAATTTTTGTATTCTACAAGTTGAATATACAAGTTATCATCTTCAGAAACTTACAAGAGTATGGCATATCTTTGGTGGTGCATGAAGTTGTAGTAGTGCTATAAGACCAACAATACTTCATGGTACAAAATGTTAGGCAATCAATAAACAACTTATTCCTAAATTAAGTGTAACCTAGATGAGGATGCTGAAGTGGATGTGTAGCAAAACTAGGGAATATAGGATTAGGAATGAACAAATTTATAAGATGGTGGAGGTAGTATCTATTGAAGTTAAAATGAAGGGAAATCGATTAAGGTAGTCTGGTCATGTATAATGAAGATGGGAAATGCACCAATTAGGAAGAGTGACACTATCCATTGCAAGAGTAATGCCATGAGACGAGGGAGACTAACTTTAATGCGGGCTGATATAATAATGAAAAACATGTTATTTTGTAGTTTAACTGAGATTATAGCCCTTGATCTAGTGAAATGGCAAACAGAATTCATGTCGCTGACGCCTAGTAGTTGTGACGACAAGGTTTTGTTCAGTTGAGTTGAGATGGTAGAAATCATGGCCGTGGTCATGTTTCCAATTGAAAATTCAGCAATACTCTTTACTCAATCATTTAGTGAACTTGCTTAAAGCCATTTCCTATAGCTTTCCAATGTAAGGTGCACAAAGTGGTCGCTATCAAATTTGAATCTGCACCCTCATGGTTGTCAACTTGTCATCATCTCTAGCTTTTACCATTTTACCAAGTGATAGATGCCTTAAAATCACAACATTGCCTTAATGGAATGACGGAAACAATACAGTGCAAATCTTTGTTATGTTTGATGTATTTTCAGGACATTGGACCTTTATTTTGATAAGAACTTTGGAATTTCTACTTTATTCATTCTCTATATTTGCATTCTCATTATTATTTGGACCGTTTTGTTTATTTAACTGTCCACTCATACGTAAACAATTTATCTGTGAAAATTTATATAATGCTTTCAAGCAGAACTGCAATTTGGCTGTATTTTTTATGGTGCTTGGGACTGTATGCTTTTCAAATTCTTCATTACTTGATCGACTTTGATATACAAAAGTCAAGACTACTACCCTTGTTCTATTTAATTTAGTCAAGAATTTTGGACACTTCATATATTAGACAAAAGAGCATATCCTCAAGTGTTAGCTGCTATATTGATTTGTGTTAATGTTGCTGCTAGTAGTAATAAATATTTATTGCAAGTTCATGTTTGATTTTAATGTGGCATGTGCAGGGTCTTCATGTTAAACTCCTGATAGCATCTGCGTCATCTTATTTGCTCTCCAGAATGATGCAAGTAAACTTCATGAATAGATTGATAAAAGTGGCCCAAAATATACTTTTCTCTGTTGCAGTCACAAGTTTGCCCTTCGCTTGTATGTCTAGTTCCCCAGATAAACCCACACCTCTTCGGTTGGATGTATCTTTGCCCTCATTGCAAGATATGGGGTGGAGTTTTGCAAGGTTACTTTATTTATTCAACATCCAACTTGAAAGGAATGTTGCCACGTAAGTGAAGCTGATAATGCTCTTATGTGATTTGGTTTGATTTTTTTCTTTCGATTGATATGTTATTTATGTGGTATTATTGAATTTGAATGACATTGCGGTCAAAATATGAAATATCTGCTATTTTATCTTCCTCTGGGAAGTATGATGTGATAGTAAATGAGCTTACTATATTTTACAGTATGAAATACCTGCTATTCTGTCTTCCTCTAGAAGTATGATGCGATAGCATATGCGCTTACTATATTTTACGGTATGAAGTATCTGCTATTGTGTCTTCCTCTGGGAAGTATGATGTGATAGCACATGAACTTACTATATTTTACAAAATTTAATCATTCTTTTCTATTCTGTCTTCATTTAAAGGATTGCTTGCATTAGCAGTGCTTTATGTCCATCCACTTACCAATACTATGGAACAAATCCTTAAAATGGCAGACCAAGAGCTTCTTTTTTTTCAGTTTTTTATAGATATTTAATTTTTATTTTTTTATATATGTTTTTTGGGGAGATTCACCTTTTTTTGAAGTATTTTTGTATTTTCTTTTTCAGTGCTGTCCTTTTTCTTTATTTTTCATTTTTTAAATTTAGGCATTCTCCCCTCTTTAATAATGAAAAAAGGGTTACAACTGCCCTTTAGTAGAGCCAAGGCCAAACAACATTGAAGTTTCTGGCAGCATGTTGGACTAAATTTTTTGAGACTGTTTTATCATTTCCAGATAGGCTCCTGTAATGTCTTGGTTTGGAGAGGCATGGAGCTGTCTCATTTCTTTGTTGGTTTGCTAATGGTTGCATTTTGTTATTGCAATATGATGGAGTCTATTGTCTTTTTTCTTCCATAAGCAAGGGCAAAGTCTTTATGTATCCTTTCGACTAGTGCTCTTGTTACTGTTGGATATTGAGAAAGGTGGACTAAAACGTATTTCAGCATCAGTCAGTACTTCACTATCCTTGTGCTGTGCCCGATTGTTAACAAATAGAGCCTTAAGCTTGACTGTACCCCTCTCTAAAATTTAAGCCAAGCACAAGTGGATATGACTCCATTTGTAAGTGTGTATGTGTTTTTTCTTTGTAAAGAAAAAAAGGGGAATCAATGTGTAAAGTGCAAAGATATCCAGCTTAGTACGATTCCAAAGTGTTTTGAGCCCTCAATCCTTCCTAGAAAATGGACACATTACGGCAAGTTTCTAATGGACCTCAGATTGACAGTTGAGTTTCCAATCCCTCCTAGAAAGTAGATAGAATTCTGGCAAATTTCTAAAAGTTGACAGTTGAAACTTTTGCTATCAATAATATCTTCTTCCCCTGAGGTGATGTTGTAACTATTGAAGATCTGGTAAACTGGTGTTACAAGTGGTCCATTTGGTGTAACAAACAGTTTGGGGACCACAAAGGTTGGATTATCTTTACAATTTGAAGTCCTATATACTTATATTGGCCACAAAGTCATAAACATTGGTCATCATGTAGATATAGAAGTTTTACATTTGAAAAGTGCCACAAGTGAGATTTCTGCCACTCTTATCTACCTTCAGGAAATTCAAAGATATTGCTCAACTCACTAGATCACTTTTGCAGGCATTCCACTTCTGAGAATGTTTTAAAGGAACAACTATGATGACACTCCCAACCTAGCATTGAGTTTCAGTTGTTGTGTCCTACTTGATAGGCTCATTTTTTTATTTTTTATTTTCCCTGGATGGTTCTGCAGGTTCTTTATTGTGCTCCTTGCAGCATGCTTCTCCTTTGTTCTCATTGGTGGTTTCCTCTTCTTCAAGTTCAGGTGGCATTCTACTTGGCATTTTGGAAAATAATTTGATGCTACTGCTCTCTTCTTTGGAAATTATGAATTTTTAAGAGAGAGATAAAGTATTTTATATCTATTACACAGTTAAAATTTTCACGTTTGAAGTCAATGTCAGGAAGGAATACAGAATGATTTTTCTTAAAATATGTTTTGGAATGTGATGAATATCTAGTTGGTTGTCTCATATGCCCTAACATTTTCTTTTATTCATGAGATTTTGAAGATGAGTTACAGAATGTGAGACAACTTGTGATGGAGCAACTTATTGTGTATTCAGTGTCCCCAATTTTGCTACCAGTTATTCATTTATGTATGCATGTCTTGTTAGACAGACATTCACTCAGATCTTTCCTTTTCTATTTATATATATAAAAAAAAAAAAAATTTGAATATGGCAAAGAAATTAACTAGTGTTGATTGGTGTCTTTCCCTTGTAATTGATCTCTGACAAATCATTGATGACAAATTTAAAGGGATTGTTTAACTGGAGTTTGCCTTGGATTATTTATTTATTATTATTATTGTTTTTTTTAATAATTTAAAGGGATGTCAGAAAGTTGAATTTTTTCTCAAAACACTCTACTCTGCTGTATTAAAAACAGGGTTGCATATTTCTTCCCATTTTTTCTGCTAATTAAATATTGAATTGCAATGGTCAATAGGTCTGGTTCTTGTCTTAATTGACTCTTGCAACATTCATGCTGAAATAACACAGGAATAATACACAACCTCTGGAGGACTGCTTATGGGAGGCTTGGGCATGCTTGTGTTCATCGTCTACTCACTTGAAAGTACGACACTATTTTGGGAATTCAACATTGCTCATTTGATTAAGATGCCATTATTTTAATGTAGCTAAAGCAATTGTGACTTGTGACTTGTGAGTAGCAGTAACTAATACGACCACAAAATATTCTTTGTATTGGGCTGCAGCAAAGAACACGTGTTGAGCGTGTTCTTGGGTTTGTTCTTGCTATATGGGGCATACTGTTCTACTCTCGTTTATTGAGCACAATGACAGAACAGTTCAGGGTAAGCTCTTGGAAGTGGTTTCATGTACTAAAGGTCAATTACATCTCTACAACATCCTATTGACTTTTTTTTTGGACAGAATAATATGCAAAGACTCAGAGATGGAGCGCAAATGCAAGTCCTGGAGACTGACCATATCATTATTTGTGGAGTAAATAGTCACCTGGCCTTCATACTGAAGCAGTTAAACAAGTATCATGAGTTTGCTGTTCGCTTAGGTACTGCTACTGCAAGGTAATTGTTTCTTTTGCTTTCAGTAGAGATGCTACATTAGATAAGTGTGAGCTACTGGTTTCAATGACTCTTTGCATGTATATATGCTGCAGGAAGCAGAGAATTCTTCTTTTGTCTGATCTTCCAAGGAAGCAGATGGATAAGGTAGCTGATAATATTGCCAAAGATCTCAATCATATCGATATCCTTACAAAAAGGTATGTGTACGTCTCATTGCCAGTGCTAAGGGGTATGTATATTGCAAATTCACAATAGCTCCGGCTTATCTTGGAGTTGTCTTTAATATAGTTATTTAGCTGGCACTTCTAGGGTACTTTCCAACATGAGACTTAACACCTTAGACATTTAGATTTTTTCCTCTAATCATAGCATAGAGCGTAGACTATAAAACAGAAAAACTTACTTCTCCACCCTCCATACATATATGATATATATATTGCGCATATGCTTGTGTATATTTCCATATGCTTTTGGAACTTTCTACTCTAAACGTTGCGTTTTATTTGACGTAACAAAACATATATTAAGTATTGAACATAAAAATTGATAAATATACATGTCTCATTACATGTATGTTTATAATTGTGTAAGCATAGATGCTCTGGACTGCAGCATGAATATCCTAGGCACTGTCCACCGAACCTTCTGTTTCTATTGACGTGACAATATATATATATATAAATATTAAGCATTGAACATAAAAATTGATAAATATACACATTTCATTACATGTATGCTTATACTTGTGTATGTGTAGATGCTCTGGATGCAGAGTAGGTGACACTTTAGTAACATCCACACTTGGACTCTCACTCTTGTTCCAGCTCTTGGTAGCTTAGTCCGTAACATACCCAAACTAGCAGTAAACCCAAATATCATCTCCCTTACCACGGAAACAGATAATTTTACTATTTAAACACTCATGTGTTGTTATTTATTGATCTTCTTGGAGGAAAGATGGGGGAGGGGTGATGAAAGGAATTATTTTGAAAGTTAATTTTGGTAGTACTATATTGAATTTGTGTGAGCTGGTGCTATTTTTTGGCAGATATCATAATGACTTGAAGTTGCTAGGCAACTTTTTTTGTAGAACTCATTTCTGGAGCTGTCTGTTTCATGTTTGGCGAGAGGGTTACTTATCTGAAAAATAAAACGGGGAAACAAATTGTGAAAGTGTTGAAAGTTCACTAATCTTATCTCAATTCCTTCTCTCTCATTATCCACCATTACTATACGATTATTTTTGTTGTTATTCCTTGTGAACAAGGAGTTATGATATTTGTTTGCTATATAGACAAAATACAGTAAAAATAGACATTCACTTGTTAACTAATTTAATTTTTTTTTGGATTTCAAATAAATGGATGCGTAACTTTTACAGGATTAGGTAAAATTATTCAGTCTTACTTTATTTCTTACATGTTTGAGCTTTTGCTTGTACAGCTGCAGTTTGAGCTTAACAAAATCATTTGAAAGAGCTGCAGCCAATAAGGCACGTGCCATAATTATTTTACCAACCAAGGGAGATCGGTAAGAATTTTGATACGAAAATATATTTTGAAATAGTAATTATAACTATTATTTTGTTTCGTTTTCTTTCCTTGTCATTTCACTTTTTTGCCCTTTCCTTTCTTGTCTTATCTTGGTTGAAGACTTTCCTTTTGTCCATGGACATCATCTAAACTAGCTCAGAACAAAATTGAAGTTGCTTTCATATTTATACGATACTGGTTATACTGGACCTATACATTTATTCTACGAAAATGGCAATCAACTTTGGGTTGTCAGCTTGAGAACCTGTGATTATAAGTATAATTAGCCTAAGCTATTGTAGCACAGTGGTTGAATGTTCATATCAACTGAAAAAAGGAGGCCAATAATTTTCCAGAAAGAAGGGGGGAAAAAAGTGATGAAGAATAGTTTCCTAATGGCATGTAATATGACATTTTAAGGGTGATTGTAATACAATATTTTAGATGGATTGAACATATTTCTATGGATTGGGTGTTCAATCTAAGAAACAACATTGTAACTCGGTACATTTCCTTGGCTACTAAATACTCATGCAACTATTTTGTTGAGGTAGCCAGAACCCTATCTTTTGTTGAGGTAAATTCTTCATGTCTTATTTCATTATATCGTCTCTTTGTTCTTTTCAGCCATCCTATTTCCTATTCAAGGCTTTTCAGTGCTATCACTTGTTTCCTTTTCATCCTTTTTCTTACCCACAGGGCTAGTCATCGATCTCTGCATGTTTATCTGTTCAAGCTACATTACATGCTTTGGTTATGGCTGCGTAGCCAAGATTACATGCCCTAGTATGCTCATGTTGGGTGCTTTTTTTTGGCACTCTATAATCATCATCATTGCACATAATGACAATTTGCCAGTTAGAATTATAAAGTTATACTTCTTACAGTCTTTTGATTTCAGATTCTCAATTTATCAGATATGAAGTTGATACAGATGCATTTCTTTCTGTACTTGCCCTTCAACCACTTCCAGAAATGGCTTCTGTGCCCACCATTGTTGAGGTACATTTCTTGTAAAGTTAAAAGCTGACATACCATAAAAAGGTTCAGTGCAAAATTTAAGTTATCATCTTTTCATGCATGCAGGTTTCAAAATCCAATACATGTGAGCTCTTAAAGTCAATCACAGGATTGAAAGTGGAGCCTGTGGAAAATGTTGCATCCAAGTTATTTGTTCAATGCTCTCGGCAAAAAGGCCTAATTAAGATTTACAGGCACCTCCTTAATTATCGAAGTACTAACACTTTCAGATTCTTATTGAAAGTTTGTGTGCGCGCTTTTTTGATGATTGTGAGTAGTTATACAATAGGTTAAAATCAATCAATAGAATTCGAAAAATGTAGATGAAGTTGTTTCTTCTAAAATCTGTATCTATTTTTTGTCCTTTTAGACTGGTACTCTTCATTGATAGACAACATTGTTGTTGGGAGCGTTGCCATTTGTGGAACATTGTCTATGAGGTTCAGTTGGTTGATTACTTGTCAAATGTGATCGACTTTGTATATTAGTGTTGGAACTACATCCCTGTTTGGTTCTTGGATGATTTGTGCTGTCTAAATACTACTTATGGTCCAATCATCATTATATTAGCTTATCTAGTTTTATCTTCCAATGTCTTATCGTGAGTGATGTCCTACTTAAGTACTATCGGTCATGTTTTGTTGCAGAAAATGTATTTAACCTCTGCAGTTTTCCTAATCTAGCCGGATTAAGATATAGGCAAGTAAGACGTGGATTTCAAGAGGTAAACTGTCCATAAATGTAATTATTGCTGGTATCCACTACAGTTGTGGTTCTAATACTTTATCTATGTTTAATATCCTTCCAGGCAGTCGTCTGTGGTCTTTATCGGGGAGGGAAGATATACTTCCACCCAAATGATGATGTAGTACTACAGGAAACTGACAAAGTATGTAGAAAGAATTGTGTTTGATCATTTTTTTCTTTGAGAGAATAAATATATATATATATATATATATTTGCAAATCCAGATGATTGATCCAATTGAATAGTTTGTGATGCTAAAAGTACATTCAATAATAACTTGAATTAATTATCTTAGTACAGTTCAACATGAGTATTTTTCTGAAATTCCAACTCTAAAAGTACACAGTAGAATAACTTGATAAAATTTATCAAAACAGTTATCTTAGTAAAGATTTTAACATGAGTATTTGTTCTAAAATTTTAATTATTTATCTGATGTGAAAAAATAATACTTAGAATAATGTAGGTATGCCAAAAAAAAATTAATTTAGTTTACGTTTGGATTTGGTTTATGATATATGTATTGTTTTGTTTGAAATTTGGGTTTTATTTTTATTTTATTTGTTTTATGAAGATTTGAGATTTGGGCAATGTTCTGGTAATCTTCTGTTTTTAAGATAATTTGTTCAAAATTTTAATTAATTATTTATTTTCAATCCAAATTTTCATGTCAATTGCCTCATTGGTGTCTTCTTAAAATTGTCTTCGTTTTTTTATTTTTTAAGCCAAGGGAAACCATACTCATTATCATAATTACAAAATATTTTACCATATAATGGCTAGGTACTATATAAGTATTAGTTCTACTCAAATCTGTACCTAACTCCATTACTTAATGTTTTAATCCCCTAGCAGTTGATTTCAAATCTAGGCATTTCAAACCTAAGGACAGTATACATGCAACTCAACTCAACTAGAATTTGTCCCAGTTGCTTGAGGTCCACGGATCCATTTTCTGCAATTGGATCTACTCACAGTCGTATATCCTCAGTTAAATTTAAGATAGTCATGTTGTTTCTTATTGCCTCAACCTAAGTTCTCCTAGACCTTCCTCTATTTCGTTTGCTACCCTCAAATGGATCGAATCACTCCTATTCTAAGCTCATTAATTGGTCAATGATGCACGTGACAATACGATTTTCCTTCATCTTATCTTTAGTTGGTGCCACTTCTAAAATATATACTCCAAATCTAAATCCTCCTTCCCAAATATGACCTTAAAGTTTAAAATCAAGGGTGCCTCAAAATCTCATATTTATCATGGATCAAGAAAATCAACAAAGTGTACTTCATGCAGACCTTGACTTTGCTTCATCTTAAATTCGCAAACCAAATCAGATGCTTCACTTGTTGCTTTTCTATGTGCAACCGTAGGTTGGAATTTTGCAATGGAAGATTAATTTGCTACCAAGACGTTCAAAAAAATTCTACTCACTGGATTCATTTGTTAGTTATTTGCTGTTCATTTGCTTGCTTTCTGATTCTGTCACTCGTATAGGTGTTGTTTATTGCACCTATTCATGGGAAGAAAAAACCTCAGCTTGCATGTCCAGACATTGTAAAAGAAGAAAATAGGATGGCAGATAATCTTGGAGTCCTAGAGAAGAATGGTGAATCTCCTAATCAAGCCTCGGAAATGAAAAGGATGCGGCTCCAAAATATAGTAAAGCGTCCCACTAGATCAGGTTCAAAGGTATATTACTTTCCCAAGAAACAAGTGCATATATATATATCATTATCCTTTGAAACACTTGGTGTCAGTCTATTATATGTTGAGTTTTGTTTGTAGGCATCAGATTGGAGTCTAGGACCAAAAGAATGCATACTACTGCTTGGATGGCGCCCTGATGTTGCAGGAATGATTGAAGAATATGATAATTATCTTGGACCTGGTAGTGTATTGGTATGTTCTAATGTTTTTTAAGAAACTTCATCATATCTGCTATTTTGTTTGAGGTTATATACAATAATAAGATTTTATTTTGTTGCTTTAAAATTTGGGGGAAACTTTATAAATTTGGTTTCATTTAAGACATCATAGCATAAAACATCTCATAAGATTAGTAGGTCCATTGGGCCGGATACTGAGTTATAATTTTTTTTTTTTAATACATATGGATCTGCATCAGCCATCAATAGAATGACATCATCATTCATTCTTGTTCTTCTTTCTTTTTTTATTTTTATTTTTCTATTAGTTTTCTTTTTCACCTCTTTTGAAATCAGACACAAGATATGTTAATGTCTTAGATCGTACATTAAGTTCTTAGATTTTAAATATGTTGCTTGAAATTTTATTTTTTAAGATCCATGTATGTGTAGGAAATATTGTCAGATGCGCCGATGGATGACAGAAGCAGGGCAAGCAGCCTTGCTGGTCAAGGCAAGCTCAAGAATGTCCGGGTTTCCCACAGGGTACTGTTTCATCAATATGGTTAGAACTATTCATCTTCTTTCTTTCTTTCTTCTTCTTCGTCTTCGTCTTCTTCTTCTTCTTCTTATTATTATTATTATTATTTAATATAAGTTTGGAATACCTTCTTTACATTCCTTCAAATCTGTTCCATGATTTTTGATATTCACAGATTGGGAACCCCATGGACTATGATGTCTTAAAGGAAACCATTAGTAATATTCAGAAATCTTTGAAGAATGATGAAGATATTCCCTTGTCAATCGCTGTAATATCTGATAGAGAATGGCTGCTTGGAGGTAATGGAACATAAATTTGTATTCTCTTAAACTAGCTTATCAGTAATTATTCTTTCTTCAGATCCATCCAGGGCAGACAAACATTCCGCATATTCCCTTCTACTTGCTGAAAATATTTGCAACAAACTTGGAGTGAAGGTGAGCATAACTCATTTTAAATTATCTTGAAGGATATTAACGTTTATTTCAATTGTAAATAACATGAGTACACAACTACTTCCTTTTTCTTTCTTTTCCGGGAAATCTGCCTAATAGAATTTAGAATTAAGGAGAAAATTCTCATTTAGGTTGTGAAACTATAAACAATGGTTCTAATATGATAAGAGGCTCAACATGTGCAATGCTAGAAGGATCCAATTGTATGACCTAGTGAAGCATGCTAGCCGTTCTCTTTGTCTTGAAATCCCTATATAGGGCATACATGGGCAACAAGCCCCATTTGGAACCTAGGAAAAGATGCAATATTATGTCAATGTATAATGTGTAATTGAATATGTTGTCTATGGTAATTTGGTTGATATCATTGCATATGTTTAGGAACTTTTAGATTATGCACTTCTCTATTATGGAAACTTGTAGTGTGTTGTTTATATATGGCATGGGTAGTCCATAGTTTGTGAGATATATTTTCTCTTCATGGTTCTGTGCTTGTATAAAAGAATGGGCCTACTGTTGGAGGTAATATTATATTGTCTCCAACATGTTGGAGATAATATTTTATTATCTCCAACAGCTACCACATTTAGGTTGTCCTTGTAACAAGCTATTGGGGGCATCACTTAGCTGATTTGCACAAGGCATAAATTCCTTTAGGAAACTTCCAATCAACTCATCAAAGCCGTCTTCTAACTACTTGGGTTTGGCTACATTAATCGTATTTTTCCATTCTACTTGATCGAAGGTCCAATTGTGATAAGGGAATATGAAATGGAATCTCCCTAAACTGAGATGCTCTACTCTTCATTCTACTTGAAACAGGAGCGAATGTCCGGTCCAATTGTGAAGTAGAAAATGCAATGGAATCTCCATTCAAATCCTTGATTAAAGCACATTAGCCTTTTGGCTAAAGGTCTACAGCATATACTCTTTCATGTATTGTTTCTGCATAATACAATAAAAGTAATGATATTCAGAGTCAACTTTTAGCATCTCGCACGCCCTTTGTGAGAGGCTGAAAACAAAAGAGGGAGTGAAGATTGTTGCTCTATTATGAATGTTTAAATTTAAGGGAGCACTAGCTCCATGGTTAAAACTTGGCATACTAATCTTGAGGTTGTGAGTTTCGAATCTGAGGGAAGCAACTTTGTGCAAATTATGTCAAAGGTTAGGTCTGTATCCATGGGCACTAAACTGGACGTATGTTTTATATATATGTTTAAATTTTCTATATAGAGGAAAAATATAATGATGAATGGATTGCAGGTGCAAAATCTAGTTGCAGAAATTGTTGACTCCAAATTGGGAAAACAAGTAATTCTTCCTTTTAGACTGATTAATTTTCTATGCAAAATGCATGGCTTAGTATAGCACTCACACAAGTTAAATTTTCATTTGCCACAATCCTGCAAATCCCACAGATTACAAGAATCAAGCCGTCCCTCACTTACATTGCCGCAGAGGAAGTAATGAGCCTTGTGACTGCTCAAGGTCTTGAATTATTCTACTCTTCTTTCTAGCTTGTGGTTTACCATTAGATGTTTCATTGCATGATGTAATTTTTTATTTATTTATTTTTTGAGGTAAATCTCTGTTTGTTCATGACAGTGGCGGAGCATAGTGAATTGAATGAGGTGTGGAAAGACATTCTGAATGCACAGGGTGATGAAATATATGTGAAGGTAAATTCCCTTTTGTAGTGTAATTATTTTAATTTTTAGATGTTCACGTTATCACGGAAAGTTTAGGTTGAGTGCTGTTCTGAGGTTAGAGAACAGAATCAGCTTAAACCAAACGTGGCTCTTCTTGTTCCGTTGGTCAATCAAAATTCACACATAATATTTTCTTGTTCTGTTGGTCATTATTTTTTTATTTTTATTTTTATTTTCTGGGTTTCTAGACTAAGAGTACCTGAAAAGTAAAAACAATTGACAAAAATTTTGAAGAAAGAAAGGAACCGTCGTTGCCAAACAGGGGCGTCTCCAAGGCTTGGTCAGGGGTGTCACCCGAACCCCCTGGCTGAATTTATTTATTTATTTATTATATAAATATTAGATTTTAGGAAAAAAATTAGTAATTGAACCCACTAAAATACAATTTTGAACCCATATTAGATATTAGCATGTCTTTTTGCTTAAACAATAGTATCAATATATTGAAATATTTTTGTTTATAATTTTAGAATTTAAATTAATTTGTTGATTTTTTTCTCCATAGGTGATATAATAATTAATGTGAATTTTCTGTAAGATATATGATATTTAAGTTTTTGATTGACACCGCTGACAAAAATTCCTAGAGTCGCCGCTGTTGCCAAACCAAGCCCACAATTTTTAAAGAACGGGATCACTTGAAATCTTTTGTAGGGTCATGTGAATGAAGACATGGTTTTCTGTTGCGAAAGTAATTTCAATAGAACCTTATAGTTTTTAGTTTTATCCTACCCAAGTGGGTAATGGATCATCAGCTTAATCCTCCATTATTATTTCTAGTATGTTTATGGCCAAACCATCTATCCATTGTCGCTGATTTATTGATTTGCTTATGTTTATTATTATTATTATTATAGGATATCGGCTTCTACATGCAGAAGGGAGAGAATCCTTCTTTTGCTGAGCTGTCTGAAAGAGCATATTTGCGACGAGAAGTTGCCATTGGTTACATGAAGAACAATACGAAGGTAATTTATGCCTTCTAGTTTGAGAGTATTCAAATTTGAGAGATGCTTGGGAGATAGAGATCTCTCTTATGCTGTTTTCTTTTCATTTCTTTTTCATTTATTGCCTCTCCTGTTTTATTATTTTCAGGTTATAAATCCAATGCCCAAGTCTGAGCCTCTGTCCCTTGAATTGACAGATTCGTTGATTGTAATATCTGAGCTTGAAGGAGAACAACCCTTGCTTATTTAAACTTGTAATCGTTTAATTTTTCATTTTCAACTAAACAAATCTTCGATTCATTTCATTGTTCACGAAGTGCATATTATAATGAGCAAAAAGTCTGTTATCATGGACCTCTTTGGTACTTCACATTAGCATCAATATTTAATTTTTATTTTTTATTTTTTTTGGGATAAAAAAAAAATTGTAATATAAACAATTGGAAAGTGAAAAAGCAAATTATCGATCCTCTTCTTACAAAGTGTTTGATAACATGATTCAGCACTTAAAACTAAATTGATTAAGTGATGATTAATTAAGTTGATTTGATAATCATAATTGATATCACTTAAAAATTTAAGTGTTTCTTAAAATGTAAGTTAAATTTAAGAAAATTTTCATGTAATTTTTTTTTTTTAATTCTGATTGAATTTATAAATATTAAACATAAATATCGATATACGCTATTATAAATTCACTAACATCACCGTTATCACTACTACTACCATCCACACAACCATCATGTTGCCACCATCACTGTCATCATGCAATCGCCATCACTACCACTATCACCACCACAACCATTACCATCATGTCACCACTACTACCATCACTACCATTATCACTACCACCACTATTATGCCACCGCTACTACTACTACTACCACTATCGTTGCCACTATCATGCCATCGCTACTGCCGCCACCACTATTACCTTCACTTTCATCACTATTGTCATTATTGCCATGAACATCACTATCATTTTATTACTACTATCATCGTTGCCACTACCACCACCACACCACCGCCATCACTACCACTACTACCACCACCACCATCACAATATAAAAATTAAAATATATACTTTAAAAATAATAAATTTTAAATTTTATCTTATATATATATCAAATAATTTATTTTTAATTCAATATTTAAATTTTTATCAAGTAACCTTTTAACTTAAAAGATTTAACATTTAATTTTCAATTTTTAACTTTATCAAACATCAACTTACTTGCTTACTCAATTGGTTTACTGTAGGAAGAAACATGGTGTGGTGTGGGTTTATTATAATCAAATCATTTCCTCAACAACAATAATAATATTATATAATAATAAAAAGGGTACGCAGGCGAAAAATCTAATTATGTATTTCTTATGTCCGGAGATTCACATGCTATTTTATTATGTCGTAAGGATAAGTTTTTTTGAAATGACAAAAATATTCATATATATATATACATATATGTTTACCCTAACAAATCATTCTCACTCGGGCGTTTTGAGAACTTTGGTAAAAGCTAGCTTTTTAATTTTTTTTTTTTAGCTTTTTTACACAAAAAAATTAGATTTTTAAACACAAAAAAGCTAAAAAGTCTAAAAAAAAAGAGTCAAAAAGTCAATTTTTTACTAACTTCTCAAACAAAAATGTTTCTGTAGACACCCTATTTTTGACCGCCCTTAAGACTTGGTCGTTACTAATGGTTTATTTGGTGATGAGAGATGTGCAGGGCAAATGTTCGATTTCTTCGGCAAGAGGAGAGTCAAATCCTAACCTCACACCCCATTTTGGACCAAAGCTATTTTGGATAGTTTTTAGACTTTAAAACCCTCTCTTTTAAAACATTTTTGAAAAGGAAGTTTCTACGTTGTTCCAACGCTCACATTTTGTTAAATGTCGCGCTTTTTGGTAAACCGAGCAAGGACAAAGTGGAAATGAATAAAAAAGAAATGAAATCTTTGAAAAATCCTTCAAAACACCTTATTTAGGGGTTCAGAGTTGAAGAAAAGAAGAGAAGAGAGAAGAAACCCAATTGGGGAAGAAAATGGGCATGAACTGTTAAGAGAGAGTCGAGCAGCCCTCGCTGAATCGGGCCTATTTATTTGCATACTTGGATTTCAGCTATGAGGCCACCACTGTTGGAAAGTTTACTTCCGGGGCTTCATTTTGCACCCAAGAATCTTCTAAAGCCAAATCCGGACGGGGGAGATATGGTTGGTTGAAGTAGGACATCAATCCGGTTGGATCGAAACTGTGCGGCTTCACCAAAACAGGCATAACTTTTTGCATAGTTGGAATTTTGATGCAAGGCTGGTGCCATTGGAAAGCTAACTTCTGAGGCTTTAATTTGGACACTGTCAACTACTTTTTGGCCTTTCTAGCCATTTGCCGACCACTTTTCTTTCTGGGAGACCACTTTTTGTCCTGAAAAACCAGAAAAAGTAGCTGGCCGACCAGTAAAAGTAGCTAGCCGACCACTTTAACTGGTCGGCAGCCTTCCTGCAGATTTTGCAGAGTCTGTGGATACCAGCTGTGCCAGCTGGAGGGCACATATTGCATCCTCCATACACGTGTATGGAGGGATTGCATCCAAGCTCTAAGCTTCTCCAAGAAGTTTTAGCTTATGTTTTTCTATAAGAGAGAGTCTCCCTCTCCGTTCCACAGGTTCAGAAAATTCCTTAAGGCACAAGCATATATCTCCCTCTATATCTCTATTTTTGGTGCCTGAAAAGGGTGTTGTTCTTCACTTTTACACCACAACCCTTAACCACACACCCCCATCATTGAGCTGAGGTTCTTGGAGGACATATTTGGGGGCTAAAAAGCTGGTTTTTGGCTGAGAAAGAAACTGTTGTTGCAGTGCTTCAAGGGGTAACCTCTTTTCTCCATTTTAAGCTTTGTTTTGGTTGTTCCCTTGGTCCCATTTGCATGCTTACTTGGGCGTAGCTTTCAAATGAAAAAAGTCTTGTTTTAAGTTGTTTAAGGTCATTTTGTGTTGGGGGTAGTCTACACCTTCTTAGGCCTTGTTTGGTCATGTTTTGGACCTTCCCTTTAAGCTTTTGGGATCACCTTGCTTTGGCCTTCTCACCACTGAAATCCTCTATGGTGTATTAAGGTCCCAAAAAGGAGAGGGTCATCCCCTCTCCTTGTGTCTTCAATACTTGCCATATATACCTCATGTTTGAGCATGTGTTTTAAGCTTGTGTTGGCTTGTTCTTAGCATGTATTTGGGGTTATTTCAGCATGCCTTAGATCTGTTTTTGGTTGTCTTGATCATCCCTTGCATATATAATACACTTGTAGTGTAAATCACACAAACTAGCCTTGTATGCTTCATGAAGTAGCATGTCATTCTAGCTTGTTTTCTTTCCATTTCAGCATGTTTTTGGTGATGTTTTGCCATGTCATGACTCTGTTTTGGTTTGGTTTGGTTGGCCCTTGCATGCCTCGTGCACTTGTAGTGCAATTCCATGAAATTGCCTCAACATGCTTTGTGCTTTAAGCCATGCTTTTAGCATGATTTTGGCTCGACCCAAAAAAGCTTTTAGCCTTGTTTTACCATGCTTAAGGTCTGTTTGGTGTTATTTTGGTCATGCATGTTTGGTTTTGTATAGCTATGGTGTATTTGGCTTTGCTAGCCTTGCACTTTGGGCCCCCTAGCATGCCATATTTGAGCTATTTGCATGATATGGAATCATTTGGTAGGTAATTTCAGACCATAAAATTTTGCTATGCTCTCATGATTATCACTCTTTCATTGTGTTTAAGAGTTGTGCCCTTATGCCTTGTTTGCGAGCTAATTCGGGAGCCTATCTTTCTTGCCATCTTTGTTGCAAGTTGTAGACGCGCCCCGAGGGCCTCATGCTTCTACAGTTCGGACTCAAATGTCACGGTTCTGAATATAATCCCGCGAAGTGCGGTGCGAGACTGATAAATCACCAAAGAGTCCAAATCCGGCAAATCGTTTTGGAAAACTGATTTTTAAGAAAGAAGTACCAAACATGGACTGCATTGCCAGATATAAAGTCGCCACCTAAATATTTTGTTTTGGGAGAATTTAGGAAACCCTGACTCGTTGCCTAAGGCCACGTGTCCATCATCACCAAAGTTGCCTCGGCTCGAGAACTTGGGTACGATTGGGGAAGGTCATCTATGAGCACCCTCGCTCGCCCGATCCGAAAATCGGCCTGTACTAAGCATGATATCTTATTTTTGAAAACACATGTGTTCTTATTCCGGTTATTAGCTAGTTTACTACGTGATGCGCACAGCATACAAGTATATACTAGATCGCCTAAGTTGGAACAAAACATATCATGTTTGTTTGGAAATATTTTGAAGTTTGTTACTCGCAAGTAGGCTAAAAATATGGATTTCAATGAATTGTCCCAATTGAAGCAATCCAACCTTCACCCACAGGCATTCAGGCAGTTATATCACATAAGCAATTAGCCTCATGGCAAGCATGCTGTCATGTTGACACTCACATACATGCGAGATGCTAAAGCATAAACACTCACAGTGTACTCCGAGCCAAAATAGAGAACATGTTAGTAATCAATGTATGATCCAAGTTCATGTTAAGATGACTAATGCATCACATACAAAATGCAACTAGAATAGGCTCGGCTAGTCTAAAATGGCATGTGAGATGCGACAATTCGATACATGTATTCAACTTAGAATTGAAATACAATGCAGTTAGTATGATGCGCCGAGCCCGGTGCATGCAATACAAATGAATGATGCAAACATGCATAGCATAAGGATGCTAATTGAAATGTGCCCTAGAACTAACCATCGTAAACCGTTAAGTAAAAGGGAGAAAGAAGTGGAGGTTGGAAGACATGCATCACACACACATACGCTTATTACACAATTGCGCCCTCTCGACGGAAGGACTGAAAGAATAATACAAATTACATAATTAACTAACTAACAAGCTAATTAATTATTACACAACACTTAACTAATTAAGCAAATCAATTAAGCTATGAAAATAGTAAAAACAACCTCGGGAAGAGGGATGCATGCGTGCTCGGACGGCTTCGCTTGGAAATCCATCGCTATGTCACATGTTGCCTCTGTTTACACTGCTTTGTACCTCTGAAAACTGTGTCAACTTCTATGACACTTCTGAACCAGCTTGGGGACTTTCAGAGAGTCCATCGGCCATGGGAAATTGGTCATCGACCAAATGTAAAGCTCTTAGCTAACAATGTTTAGCCGACCGGCACTGAAAGTAGCTGACTGGCCATTTCTTCCTGCAGAATGCTGTGTTGCTGCAGCAGAGGACAAACAGAGCATGGCTATACATTTACAAGGCAATGTTTGCGCGACCACCCTCCTTATCATGTTTGAGACTCAAAGGA